CACCCGCAACATACGGAATAACCACTGGTTTGGGTCTGGGTTTGGGGTCTTCATTTTCACCTGAAGGTTGCATGGAATCCTGTCTGTGTTTCCTCACTTTTAAACTTTCACTGTAAGCCGACCTCAGTTACACTTCTACATTTTTGTTTAAATTACTGAACAAACACCAAAAATTAAAGATTCTTTTAAAAACGGTTTACTCAAATCAAGTCCTTATGAAAACTTTAACACCTCAAATGATTTTATCAACCTTATACGCTGAGAACTCCGGCCTGACAGATGAACAGATGGCGAGACGAGGAAGGACAGTGATGTTCAACTTGTTCTCGTAACATCATTTGCATCCCAAAGTGCTTCTGTTGATTTAAATTCATTCAGTTTCTATAGAATGTAATGTTTGCATTCAGAAAAGACCCAGAACAGAGAGGCGACTGCTGCAAATCTATAATGAAACAAGTTTTTTCTTTAAGGCTGTGCAGAGCTGAGGGTAATATTTGTGAAGCAGAGACATGAACTTCTTTATAATGAAAAAAATAAACTTTGAAAAATATTCTTTTGAAGCGAATTTCTGTGACAATATGAATAATTAATTTGATATAGCTCTCTGAACAAGCTCAGTTTGGACAAATTCTGACTGATAAGCTAATGGTTAATCTGAGTGAAACCAAAGTGATTTGTTGTTGCTGCTGCCATRACCATGTTTGACTGCAGGGATGATTGATGCTCTGCTGTCAGTGAAAACAAGATAAACAGAGATGCCATGAATCTGGTGTCATTTATGTCAGCAAGTGAACACTAATAAAAAACATTTTAATTTTCATCCCTTGAGTTTAGGAGCCTTTTCCTGCCTGAATGATTCAGACGTCCTGATGCATTTCAATAATTCAGGAAGATAAATCTAACGAGGTTGAGTCGGGTCTTCTGAATAGATTCTTCTTTGTTGAACCATTTCATATTTTCTCCAAGAAACTCCGTCAATCCTTCAACATACAAATGACCACTGGTCTGGGTCTAGGGTCCTCCTTTTCACCTGATGTTTGGCTGGAGTCCTGTTTGGGTTTCTTGTCTGCTTTCAGGAAAGCACAGTTAGAATACCAACATTGCTCCACGGTCTGCCTTGTGTGAGATTTSTCCTTCTGTCTGGCTCCTGGGTTTGTGGGGCTGATATGTGTTCTGTGGTCCTGAAGACTCCCAACTGGTGCTCCAGTGGGTGATAGGAGTCATACTGTTGTATCAATATACGTGGCTTTAAGGAACAAAAACATTCTACAAATAATGATCAGATGATGTGTGAAGCATTAAAAGTCTAAAAACAAAAACTTTAAAAAAAAGTCAGAACTATTAAGAGCACAAGATTAAACAAACCCAGTAATCTTTGATAGTTTACTGATTTATAGGCTCAAAAGTTAAAAATTAACGCCCTGTTGAAAAATAAACCTTTAAATTCCTTGTCCCATTTGAACAAAAATCACAAGAAATTGCAGGTGATTGTATTTATTAACTTTAATTATTTGTAGATAAAATACCTGCAATGACGCAAATGCTTAAATGAATTTAAAAGAAATTATTTTTATTTTCTGACAGGAAATCATCAAAATGCAGAATACAGCATGTATCTTCACAATTGTGTGTTTGCAGTGGGTAAAAGTGAAGAGTAGTCTCACATGTTAAACTCTCAGAATCTGAATGTGTGTGCGAACCAAAGAAAATCTAATTATTGCTTTAAAGAAAACATAAAACAACGTTATTAAATGTACATGCGGTCACATCCACAGAAGAGTCAGCCATACAAACGACTCAATGAAATATAATAAAACGTCCAAAAAACAGATTAAAAAAATAGTCTCCTCATTTCATAATCTAACAAACATTTCTCCAGCAAAGTTAAGAAGAAAGGAGTTTATAAAAGGTCAAACCTCATCTCTCCCCTGTACACTGAACCCCACCACGCCCCCTCGGCTCAGCACAGCCAAATATAGATTAACAGCCTATTTAAAACTGAGCGCCCTGAACAAGGCCCTTAAAAAAAGATCCAAATCCTCCCCGTCATCCTGCCTGAGCGGCTCATCAGCTCTCCTGCTTGTCTTTGACCAGTAAGACTGTGTGCTGCCCTCCGCTGGACGCCATCAGTACTTCACGGTTCTCCAGCTGTTTGCCCGTCATCTTCACAGGGCTCCACTCATCATCTTCCTCACCTGTGCCAAGCTGCAGGTTGGTTCCCATGCCCCAAGCATAGACAGAACCTGAAATGAGCAACGCCAACAAATAAATCACTAAAAATAGTGAGTACACACAAAAAAAATTAAATAAAAAATAATAAAAAAGGATAAATGTTTGCAAATATAGGAATTTCTATAATAATTTTTAATCTTTGACCAAATTTCTGACATTAACAACCATTTTACTTTGCTGTACACATTATCCGATATGGTATCCAGCCAGAGATTTTCCATCTTATCAGATAATTGAAGTTAGACCGCTGCGTTCATGTAAAACTTCTTGCAGCAGGATCTAAAAAGAAGAATATATTCTATACATCGATCTCAAGATGAAGTTCTCAAAAAGTAAAKGTTTTGTGGAAGTATATTTTTTTTATTATAATCACTTTTTTTGTCTTGCATTTTTTTCTTTTGCAGATTTAAAGAAATGTTTAAAAAAATATGAGTGTTCCAATTGACACTTTGCAACTACGTCACCTAATTCACATGGACGTCAGAAGAGAGGGAGGGGACACGGCGGTATTTACAAAAGTTGGACATGGCTAACCAATAAAACAGACGAGGATCAAAGTTTTCTGTCAGAAAGATGGATTTCTATCGTCTGTAAAAGTGAAAAAAGGAAAATGTGTTTTCAACCGCAACTTGAACAAGTGATTATTTCCAGAAAGCTCTGTCCTAAAGTTTTGTTGTTTTTAAATATTTGTTACAATGTTTTTGTGTAAAAATTGCACATGCATACATGTGCTGTGCTTTTCTCTATTTTTTTCTTTTTCACAGTTTAAGGTTTATTATTTCTATATTAAAAGAATGTAAAGAATGTTCAATTATGTAAAAACTCGTACAAAAACAAACAAACAAACAAAAAAAAAACTAGGGGTGCACCATAACTATCGGCCTGATATCAGGGAATTATGATGTCATACTTATCGGTATGATATAACAGAACRGATAATATATGTACACGTTTGRCAGCGCYGCAGTGAGTATGCTCCTTTATTTTTATCCTTTTTGGTCAAGCCGCTCCCCGTCCTGCCCAACTCGCTCCAGCTGGGCAGTTCAAGTTGAGTCGGAAAAAACAWCTTTCTCACTAGAAAAATAATTAGAATAATCCATGCCGGAAAATAACCAATCATTTTAATAATTATTAATGTTATTTTACTAATTAACCCTGTATGTTACACAGAAACTTTATAATTATAAACATAAAAAGTTCGGAACAACTATCCCAAATTGAGAACATGTATTGTCCGTTACCTCCTGAATGCAGCACAAAGTCCGTCTGCTAAAAATGCTAACAACAACAAGCTAGCGTTCAAAAACTCATCTGGACTTCAATCATTGCTGAGGCTTTTGACAAATCCAAAAAACCACAGATCTCAAGCAATTTAACGATGGAAATGATGGAGCTCGACAAGCAGCCGTTCACCTCGCTAAAGACCAAAGTTTTTATCTCCCTGTTAGCCACGGTTTACCATGCCGAGCTGCTGCTACC